CAGTGAAAAATATTTCAGGTACAGGGAACCACACTAAGTCATAATGTTCCATATGAATCCAGAGCCCTTCTAGTTTTGCGTGTCAAATATAAAAACTTACGTCTGATGATGTCTCGAAACTCAGTAATCGCTGGGACGGGTCCAAAGCCCGTCCAAAGGGTTCTCGATTCGCTCTAGACTCTGAAGCCAATTGGGCACGGACCCGTTGTCGCTGTGATCGCCGTTGACGCGCGCGAGCAGAAACATCGGATAAAGCACGCTGGGCCAGGCTTAGGATAGTATCTTGTAGTAAACGACTTCCACGGTGGCGTCGGCTGGCCCGTAACTCAAGAACACGCTGGGCAGTGGAACTAAGTCGTTGCGGAAAGTATAGTTCTTCGTCTTCTGAAGAATATATGTCGGAACTAGAATCCATTGGAAACCCTCGGCCGTGGTCGTCCTGCTCACTGGTGTTAGACGTGACGCCATTGCGAACGCAAGTTGGGCAGAACCAGTCACCCGGTGGAATATCCATAAGGGGGATAGGCAAACAATAAGTATGGTAACCCCGATCACAATTGTCGCACAACAGCAAGTGAGCTTCATCATCTGCGCTAGTGCATATCTCGCAGTTTGTGTCAATCTCCTCAAAGGTTTCCTCTGGCTCCTGTACTTCAACTGGTGGAGCTGACACCTGATAGCAAAAGAGAAAAAAGAAAATGCATTTAGTTTATTCAAGCAGCGCAACGGACAGCATAGTAAACAAAATAGAAAGTGGTCCGAAATGTTTAACAAGAACGCCAAGTGTCTCAAAAACTGAGAGTAAGAAGGTTGAAAAGAAATTTACGAGCAGGATATGATATCGATGGCAAAAACAAAACGGGTTTGTCAACAAATGGACGGGCTACCATACCGTGAGGTCGAAGCGCTGCACGTCTACTTGAAACTGTGGCAACGAAATTCGAAAAATGAACAACCCGCCAACGCGGTCGCATTATCGAGTGCTAAGTAGGTCGAAACCTATCGCTCGCGAGCCATACAGATACATAATGCCATTGAAATCCTTTGATTACGGTTCGATGAAAAAGTGTGGGTGAAAATGAGCTGCATCCGAAGCGTTTTGCACAATCACTTTCGGGAACAAGAGCAAGATACATTAAACGAAAACAGAGTAAAAGCTTGGCAACAATCTTCCAAACAGTCACAGTCAAAAGTTGACAAGAAGCTCTGCCATAATACCCTCTGTTCGAAACGAAGAAACCCCTCTTTGAGGAAGTATATAGGTAGGCGATCACCTGATTTGATCAATCATCTACGGCTCGTGTAAACATGTGCGATGCATTTAGCCTCTGTGAGCAGTATTGCCATGCCAACGGTGATGATGCTCGAGATGAGCAAAGGTTAGGGGGCGAAACATCGAAGAGAACGAAACAAAGAAGAGGGCACGACCACTAGAGAGCATAAACTCGAAGCGCTTGTTTCAGTGCCAAAGCCCTAATGTCTTCTTGATTAGGCCAGAGAGCATAACGTCTCTGAAGCGACCGATGAAGTGAGACCTAACCAAGTAAGACGACAGTCCAGGCCGTATTAAGGTCAATTAAACTGACCGGTTTCATCATATCATCGGCTGTCTACTCTGGAGCTTCACCCAACCATGTGTGGTATCGTGAATAAAACATCAATTCATGTGGATGATCCGATATAAAAGGATCGATATCAATAAACAAACTAACACCACCGCGGAGAGGTTTACAGACGAAAACTAACCGGTTGACCTCATAAAAACATTCGCAAATCCCCTTAGACATGGAGAATGTCGATGTTACTGTGAAATGGTGAGGTTGGAAATGAAATCTGGATTGATGAACAAAGCGAATCGGGCATTCACATTGGACCAATTGCTGATTAGACAGAGAAAAGAGCGAGAAAGAGTGTAGAGAAAAGCATGACAAATACTAATGGCGAGCACCCACGTTGATAAGTTTGTTTGTGATTATATGTTTCAACATACTGCATGAATCTGCCCTACACTGATATAACGTAAATGATCGTATGATTGGCACTCTCCGAGTGCTGAATTCAAAAGGACAACCAGCAAAGCATGAGAAGCACATCCGGTTGGGAGGACACAATATCGAAGACGTAACTGTGAGGTATCAGTTGCGGGCAACTATGACAACACGCAGAGAAGTTAGCGACAACTTGACCGATTCACGTGAGCGAATCGAAGACTGACATTCAAAGCAGGAGCCGATCAATATTCACTTGAGTCTGGCAGTAGCTTATGAGGCTCTACGAATCAGATCCTAATAGCCGCACTGAGGATGTCGTCTAGTTTGACAATGAAACGTCTGCAACAAAATTACCCAGCTCGGAGAACACATCAACCCTCTCATCCACACCCCGAGCTACAGGTATTCTCAATAATTTCCAAAGGTTTTCAAACACACACTTGGTTATACACTTGCCAACCCGACGAAGTATAACGTGCTGATTATTTTCTAATCAGGTCCGAGCGCTTCGGAATGCCTCCGATGGGTTGTCATCACTTAGGTCAACCAACACCGATGGGACTCGATAGCTATGCCGTTTACTTAATCAACAAACACAATAAGATGTCACTCGATTGGATGTGAGCCAAGTTATCGAGTGGTCTTACTTCTACTGTGTTTGGGAACGTATACACAGCACTCGAAACACCAGCATTTGAGTTCAAAAAAGTTTGCAGCTGATTTATCACAGGTGTTACTATCGTGCAGTCTGTCATCTCTGAGGACCTCAAGCCTTCCCGTCTTCTTATTCCCCCTCTTACGCTTTTTCACTCTTACCGTCCCATTCCAACTTCACTTATATCCCCACAGTTTTCAACCCCCCGATTCTTGCCCTCCCCCAAAATGCTTTGCTAGGCATTTACATTCTAATTTCAACTCACATGTGAACGCGGAGCGTCACTCCTCTCCTGTCGACAAGCCCATGTCCAACCAAGCGGTCCAATCCAGTTCATCGGCTTCCATTTGGAGCCCTCGATCCTCCTTCAGATTGGCATGCCTCAATGTACGCACATTGCTACAAATCGGTCAACAGGCGGCACTTGCCCGAACATTGAAGACCCTCTCCATCGATATCTGCTGCTTATCAGAGACTCGCCTGCAAGACTCGAGCTCTGTGCTCACTCTGCGATCCCCTTCAAGTGACGCAAGCAGTATTTTCTCCTTGCGCCTATCCGGTGACGATGCAGCTTCGAGCACCGACCAAGCCGGTGTTGGTGTTGCTCTGAGTCCCCGGGCTGAAGCTGCTCTGGTTGACTAAATTCCAATCAGTAGCCGGATGTGTGCGGTCCGATTGGCTGGCTCGTTTAAAGCTTCGAAGTCGCGCGGGACTAATAGATGTCCATTCATCATCGCTGCCTATGCGCCCACAAACTGTAGCGATGATTCGGTAAAGAACGACTTCTACCGCCAACTGACCCAGCTCCTTCGCCACAGAAGAAGCACGGACACTGTTGTGCTGACGGGGGATATGAACGCACAAGTTGGAAAGTTGTCCACTGATGAACGGCATCTGGGCGGTCAACATGGTGTAGGCTCCCGTAATGATAACGGTGAGCGGTTACTTCATTTGTGTGAAGATGCTCGCTTATTTCTTGCGAGCACCAATTTTCGACACAGCACAAGCCGAAGGGTGACTTGGCGCCCACCAACCTCGAACCAGCCTTGCACGCAGATCGATCACATTGCGATAAGTTACCGCTGGAGAGGCTGCATCCAGAATTGTCGCTCGATTTGGAGCACATGTGTGGACACCGATCATGCACTTGTATGTGCTGACATGCGGATGCGTTTTGGCGCACGCCCACGACGACGCTGTGAGCGTATTGACACCAGCCAACCGACAAAACCAGCTGTTCTGAATGCGTATCGAAGTACGCTAACATGCGAGTTGAGCAAGCGCTCACAGGAGACAATTGATGGTCACTGGTCACATGTTCGCCAGACCTTACTAGCAGCAGGCAAATCCTCATGTGGTATGTCTAATAGACAACATGGACATTGGGTCTCTTCGCAGTCTTTGGAACTTATAGATGCTCTCCGGCAAATCCCGGCTGGAAGCGAGCACAATGAAACTCGCAAAGAGCTCCGGGCAAAACTCCGTGCTAGCCTGAAGAGAGACCGCGAATCTTGGTGGTCTCATCGTGCGTCAGAGATGGAAGTGGCCGCTGCCCTTGGCAACCATCGTAAGTTATTCTGTCTGATACGGGAAACGGGCAGCAGGAGACCTGGTGTTAGTGAAACTATACGTGACGAGAGTGGACAGCCTATCCACAATTTGTCAAAACGTCTGGAGCGTTGGGCTGAGCATTTTGAAAAGCAATTTAATCGGCAAGAATTGTTCGATTCGCCGGTCACTGATCGCCCCGCTCCGTGGGCTGTCCCTTTGGATCCACTCTCTCGCTCAGAAGTCGAACGTGAGATCGGACTGTTGAAGTTGAACAAAGCCGCGGGACCAGATGATCTTCCTCCAGCCCTCTTCAAATTTGGAGGCTCTGTTCTTGTTGATGCTTTGCATGAATTACTAGTGAAACTGTGGGAGCAGGAAACTGTCCCAACCGACTGGAGCCGCTCCGTTATTGTTCCCATCTTCAAAGGAGGCTCGCGCTCGGAATACGGCAACCATAGAGGAATCAGTCTGATCTCCATCGCCTCCAAATTACTCGCGTCCATAATTCTCCACAGACTGACTGGCGCTCGTGAAAGCCAGATTCGTGAGGAGCAAGCCGGGTTTCGTCGGGGTCGTGGCTGCATCGACTACATCTTCACCTTGCGTCAGTTGTTGGAGCACCGTCACACATATTGGCGGCCCACCGTAGTCGTGTTCCTCGATATCAAAGGTGCCTTCGATTCGGTTGATCGATGTGCCCTTTGGAATTGTCTACTCAGGAAAGGTGTGCCCGAGAAATATGTAAATATTATCCAAGCATTATATGCGCGTAGCACGGGCAAAGTAAGGGCTTACAGCAGGCTGTCGCCACCCTTCAATATCTCCAGCGGTGTGAGACAAGGATGCCCGCTGTCACCTTTCCTATTCAACTTCGCTATTGACGAAGTCATGGAGATTGCATTTACAGGACATGACTTGGAAGGTGTGGAGCTACTCCCAGGAGAACGACTTCTTGACTTAGAGTATGCAGACGACATTGCCCTCATCTGTGACAGCTCCCAGACGTGTCAAGCCGCGCTGGACAGATTAGCACTGGCTGTCAGTCGCTTCGGCCTTTGCTTTGCACCACCGAAGTGCAAAGCGTTCCTCCAGGATTGGCAGGGTTCGCCCCCTGTGCTGACCCTTGGTGGGGATCAGCTAGAAGTCGTTCAGAAATTCAATTACCTGGGAAGTTGTATCAGCGCCCTTGGGATCGAAGACGAGATCACGAACCGCATAGCGAAAGCTCGAAGTGCTTTTGCTAACCTTCGCCACCTATGGCGACGGCGCGACATTACTCTCGCCCTGAAGGGTAGAGTGTACAATGCAGCGGTACGTTCGACCTTACTGTACGGTTGCGAAACCTGGCCCCTAAGATCGGCGGACATGAAGAGGCTACTTACGTTCGACCATCGGTGCCTTCGCAGTTTGGCTCACATCTGGTGGGAACACCGCGTGAGTAACGAGCGTGTTCGACGCCTTGTTTACGGCCTAGGA